CCAGCTTTCAGTGACTCTGACAAAGAAATCTGAGGCTGAAGCAAGCGCTAGGGACTCTTTGCATAGCGGTTGCAGTTTCCTGATTTTGGCTATTCCCGGCTAGCTACTGTCTCTCTCTCACAGGCCAGCAGCGCATCTTCAGGTCGGGGCCTCATCAACTGGGAGCGCCTTTATGAGCCTTTCTGAGTGTACTTTAACATCCTGCTCTGAACCCTGTGATATCATGCCTTTTCTACCCCTGGGTTTAGAATGAATGCTGTTAAGCACATTTGTGGGACTCTTTTCAGATCCTGCAGCTCCTGGACTGCTGGGGGAAGCCAACATACTTGCTAGAAAGACATTGCTGCCGTAGATTAACGAGACCTTTTCTTTCTATCATAAAGATCCCCTCTCCACTCATGTATTAGAAACATATACATTTTAAATAGTCGCTTGCAATAATGTGCTTATATGAAAAAAAGTATTAATTTCCACATTAAAATCCTTAAAAAGATATTGCTGGCTCCTTCGTTACCTCATTACAAAAAGTGTTAAAGCAAGTTGCATACTGGACCAGGGGGGTTTGATTTTCCAAACGATTTGCTGATGTCACAAATCGATACCCGTAGACCCTGCCCCCTTAAATCATTGTTCATGCTGAGCCCACAAAGAAACTTTTCAGTCTTTCCCTTTTTAGCAGAATGGTGAAAACAACCTTAAACAAAACTGTTGGTACATATATCATTCTGGGGCTCAGGATGGAGGATCCAACTGGCTGGAATATAAACGTGTAGTCAGCTACAGCATTTCCAGTTACGGCTGATGCGTATTTTCATCATCATCGCAATATAAACGAAGAACAATGAACACATTGGCCAAGAGGACTGCCTTGAAAACGATGGAATAAGAAACAATGCTTCTTAATCAGGGATGGTTCTACAGAAGACCCACATATGTAAACAGCGTTCCTGTAGCGACAGGAGGACAGGAAGAATGATACTGGGACTGATGTCTGTGTTTTCCTAAAATTCAGTATTTGATGGTGAGGAATCTGATCAGGCCAGTTTTGGGCAAATATCTGCCGACGTGAAATGATGAACAGCCGCTAAGGTTCCCGCTACCCAAGTCGGGAACTCGCCATATCATTTTGTAAATGACCGCTGGTTGTACCTTTGTTTCCGAATAACAGCGTTGGGCAGAGATAGCTGAGACTACGAGAGGCTTAAAAAAAGTTTGGGAGGCCAGCGGAGAGGACTTTGCGGGCGAACTTCCAGGGGAGAAAAGGGGGAAGTAGGGTTTGACAAGATAGATTTTAAGAAAGACTTTATTGATCTTTCACACTGCGGGAAATGGTTACTCGCTACAGCCACCTCAAGCAGACCACAATAGAAATGAGAAATTACACAGTCTAGATAAAAAATTTAATAGAAAAATACAAGAATATAACTATAAAATAGAATAAATTGAACATATATCCAGCAGATCACGTCCTAAACACTGTTGAGCACTGATCAGGTAACAACCCGATTATCTGTTTATCAGGATTCATGCGCGGGGGGGGGGGGGTGGGGGGGGGTATCAGACAGCAAGTGAACATTTTTTCCTCAGAGTTATGTGTTGAGAATCAGGAAAAAATGGGCAGCTGGTTGGGAGGATCGCTAGCGACTTGACAAGGCCCCGAAATTGTGGATGGGCCGAGCTGTCAGAGCAGCTCCAAAGGCTGCCAGGCTTCTTCGTGGGGTCCCGGTCTGGCAGGGGAGGTCAGTACTATCAAAAGTGCGGGTCAAGAAGAGGAACAGAACCACGAGAGCAGGTCATGGTGGGCCAAGGCCTCATTGCATGCAGGGTGGGAGGTGTAAGGCTGGCCTGTGTTGGTCCGATACCAACATGACGGCTGACTGTAAGCCGAAAACTGCTGAAACAGTTGAATGCTGGTCTTGGATAGAAAGGGTCAGAACACACAGTGCAGAGGAGTTGCTTGTTGTATGGGGCCTACCGCAGGTGTTCATAATGTTCATGGCTGGATGGGGATAATTGTACTCCACAGGGAATATTGGTGGGGTGGCAGGAGTAAACAGCTCTGCTGAGCGGTCGTGTCTAAGACAGTAACTAACAAACTATGGACTTAAATCCGCAGCCAAGGAGTTAGGCAAGCTAAACGACGTACTGGGCACTTTTGGGACGGACAAAGCCTCTTCCTTCGTTGAGGTTGAACTCCGCCATCTTTTCCGATTCAAATTCTGGTAGTATGTATACAATCCGGGTTCTGGATTTGGTGGGTGGCGTTACGTGCTAGGTGTGTGATGTCAGGAGTTGCGTCCTTTAAAGCGCACCAAGTCGCCACCATGGTATGTAAAACTGTAAGAACAGGGTACTTAAATAGTGAAAAAACAAGGACGGTGGATAAGTAGTTGGCAGACGTTTAGAGACAAAACCAGTCTGTTAATGAGTTGAAGAGGTTCTGACAGCTGTGGAATAAGAGGTAACCTTCGGGATAGCGCTCAGTCTTGCACTGTGGGTGGCAAGTAGTCTGTTGATGAAGGGAGGCTGCCTCAGGACCCCTTACAGTCTCATACAGGGGGTTTTAAGGAGGTTAGTTGTGCCATGGGATTGACATCAGGCTTGGCCTATATACAAATAAAACTGAATTAAATCATTTCAACGCAGTTATCTGTTGAACACTGTACACACTGGTTGTGCTTTACACATCTGACCCCTGCAGTTTTAGGATTTCAGTGGCCATTTTGGAAAAGCTTCATTTTGGGGGAGAAAACTGCTGAGATGAGAGAAAGAAAAATATGTTTACAATGACTTAATGTGGATGTACTCTCACTCAGCGTACGGTGGTGGGGTGTGTCCTGGGGGAGGGAGGGAGGAGGAAGAGATAAATGAAGGGTATGACTCACAGAGAGCTCAGCAGCTTCTCTTCTCTCTGATGATGGAAGAAGTTGAACTCTGCTTTCCACAACTCAACACCTCCTGCAGGAGGCTGGAGCGTCCTCAGTCTGAGACTCTGCTCATTAACATCCTGCTGTTCTTCATCTCTGTGCTCACTGCTGCTCTCAACCTGCTTGTCATCATCTCCATCTCCCACTTCAGGCAGAGATCAACC